TACAAGATTTGGAGAGAGGGAATTAATATCATGGGAAACCACCATGCAGCACTATAAAATGTGCTCGGTGTGCTTTAAGGTGCTGCATTTTACTTCTTGATTTGACCTGGTTTGATTGGAGCTCATGATCAAGAGGCATCAGTTGTCTGGGGAGAATTTTTAATTCTAGAAAATCTTTGAAGAAGGGTTCTGTTATAATAAACTGGCTGGCTATTAATACAGTCAGCCCTCCGTATAGATCAGGGATAGGCAACCTTTTTGAGCCGGGGGCCAGGTTGCTGTCCCTCAGACAACTGGGGGGCCGAAGCAAAAATAAATAAATAAATTTTAAAAATTAAAAAAAATATGCATGCACACTCTCTCAGCCCCAGAAAAGCCATGATGGCAAAACCCCTGTGGAGATTTTGCTATGAAAACCCCAAGAACAAGTAATAACAATAATCAATATCATCACGGTGGGCGGCTGTGGGCAGCAGGGGTTGTCGGCGGCGGCAGAACCAGCCTGGGGCCGGTCCAAAGGCCTTGGGGGGCCGCATCCGGCCCCCCGGGCCGGAGGTTGCCTACCCCTGGTATAGACGGATTTTTTTATCCATGGATTCCAGCGTCCACGATTTGAAAATGTTTTAAAAATGTATAAATTCCCAATAATAGATGTTGGAAGTGTAAACAAACTACAGGATGTTGGTTACATGTATGGTGGAACTGTGACAAAGTTAGGAAATATTGGATAACTATTCATAAGGTAACTAATCATAAGGTAAACTTAAAATAAGATATGACATGATACCGGAAATATACCTGTTGAATATGACAAATAAGATCCCAGAAAAAAATTGAAAGGAAATACGGGAGAATATTATTATATATGATAACTTCAGCTCGGATTACATTAGCAAAAAAATGGAAATAGAAGTGCCCTCAACCAGTGAGTGGTTTACAAGGCTTTTTGAAATGATGAGTATGGACATACTCACAGCTAGACTGAACAAACAAAATGTAGAAAGTATTGAACAAGACTGAATCCGGATACTGCAGTACTATAAAAGAGAAAACTTAATTGGATAGAGATACAAATTGATGGGATAGTGTAAATTATTAAATGACCTAATAATGGGAGGTGAATATTAACAGGAAACATCTATAATAATGACTATAAAAAGATCAGGATGGTTAAAGCTGATGTTATAAGACACAGTGGATTTAATATTTAAAATTGCTTGTATATGAAGACAATGAGTGAACATTGAAGTAAGGTTGAGTACAAACTGGAGACACCTTGGAAGCCAGTTGTAAATATTTGTAGATAATTATTGGAAAAGAAATTAATACGTCAACTCAATAGAGATGTTTGAATACTACATGTCAATAAAATATAAAATTACACAAAAAATGTATAAATTCCAAAAAGCAAATCTTCATTTTGCCATTTTATATAAGGGATGCCATTTTACTATGCCATTGTATTTAATGGGACTTGAGCATCCACGAATTTTGGTATCCACATGGGGTCCTGGAACCAAACCCCAGCAGATACCAAGGGACCAGTGTAATAATAATTTAAAAAGACTGCCTGTCTGTCTGTCCATCCAGGTTTAGGAAATGAGGGACATACACCTAGAAGAGAAAACGATTTGCGTTCCGGTGTGTAGCAAACCTGCCAATGGACGGCTTGTTGGAGCCTTTGCTAGGGAGAGGCCTCTTGGATGTTGCTTTTCCTGTTAGGTGCAGTTAGAAGAGGGTGTAGTTGGAGAACCAGATCCTGGCAAGAGAGAGAAGGCATCCTTGCAGTGGATTAATTCTGCTTTGGGAACTCCCAAAACAGGTACAAGAAATGTTCCATTCTGATGATCATTGTTAAAAAAAAGGAGGGGGGGCAGTCTTATTGACAAATCTCTCCTCTAAAGTTAAGATTGCAC